GTCGGCGGTGGGGCTGGTGGCTCCCTGCAGGCGCTGTTCTCCCGGCGCGGTGCTGTACAGCGGCCCGGGCTCAGGCGGACTCTGGGTCTTTCCTCTCCCCCAAACCAGCTTTCTTACCAGGGAATTGGCTGTGAACCCGGGGCTGTAACCTGCGCTAGTCAAGGAGGAGCCCTGGGGCACCTGAGAGCCGGACACGTTTATGTGGGTATCAGCTGTTGTGGGTAGAACCCACTTCGTCAGGCTGCTGACCTTTCACCCCGGAAAGTGTATATGCTAATAAAGCCGTTAGTCTTTCAGGTGCCACAGGACTCCTGGTTGGTATTGCAGACACAGACTAATACGGCTACTCCTCTGAGACTTGCGCTTATTGGACAGCCGCTGGGATTAAGGCCAGGGCGCTGCTGTGTAGGTTTGCTGGCTGCTCTGCTGCTGGAAACCACTTAATGCCTTTCAGTGCAGCCACCTTTATATTAAGTCACAAAGACTGAGGCTCTGGCTGAAGAGTTTTTCTTCTCAGGGCTCCTGTATACAGTCAGTCCCCGGGTTACGTACAAGATAGGGACTGTAGTTTTGTTCTTAAGTTGAATTTGTATGTAAGTCGGAACTGGTACATATTGTAGGGGAAACTCTAGCCAAACATTTCTCCAGAGCTCGGTTTTATTCTCCCACACCTCACTTCCCTCAGTCCTTTATTCTCAAGCTGAGGTGTCTGCTGAGAAAAGCCGCTCCGCGTCTCCCTGGTCTGCTGGGGTGAAGCAGCTAGTATGGGGTTGCCTCACCCCGTTTGTAAGTAGGGATCCGATGTAAGTCGGATCCATGTAACCCGGGGACTGCCTGTACTCTGTTCTTTGGGTACGAGGATGGGTTTCAGGCCCTTTAGCTGTTGCTTTGTATTCTTCTCTAATGGGACGTTTGCTTCCTTTATCTCAGCTACTGCTGTACTTGCTGCCTTCTGGATGGGTCCTCTTCAGTGTGACTATGTTCTCCATCTGAGTTGGAGTCAGTCTAATTTCTTCCTTTTACTCTTATGTAAACTCAGGTTTTTGAAGAGGCCAAGAGACCTTTATAAAAATGTTTTGTGATACTAAATTTTACAAGCTTTTTTAATATTCATGAATATCTGGGCAATTCAAAATTCAGTAAGAGTGGATGCCTCAAAATCTGCTGCTATAACTTTTTAAAAGTTATTTGGAAATACAAAAAAACCTCAGTTGTACTGTTTCCCCTTCTTTTGTTTAATTTTCACCAGCAATAGTAAAAGTTCCAAAGTAAGTGTCCAAGGATACACAAACATTTGTCATATCTGCAAGCATGTTATTTTGAAAAAAATGATAAATGATGGCTCAGCTAACCAGGTTACCTATTAGGATTACTTTTGCATAGTGCATGTCAATTGACTAGTCATATTTGGTACTATATTACTGACACTTCAAATACAAGTGACATGTCTACTGTAAAAAGCACCTAAGTAATGGATGATACATTTCTTGTAGGAAAATGTATTATGCCTTTGTTAAATACATTATTGTAATTGTTTACGTAAAATAATGTGATTACATATAGCTGCTTATTTTAAGCTATTTTAGCAATCCTGTTTTACAACCATGTGGCTCAAACAAAATGGTAATGAAAGATGGGAGGATGAGCATAAAGATCATATACTGTTAGGGGTAGGGACCATCATTGTGGTTAGCACTGGGACTTTTATGTGCTACTGTGCTGTAAATAATGTTACAAATCTTGAGATAATTTCATTATTGGTGTGACTTTACTCTGATCATGTAATGGATTAATTTAATCCCATATAGCATGTGGAAGCCATCCAAAAATGGAGTGGACAGAAATTTCCCATATGTCCTCCTTTATACAGTTGGTCTTTGAACTATATAAAAAAATGTTCTCAGTCTCAAACAAAACTTTTTACAAAAAAGAAGTATTTTTTTGCAAGGCAAGATACTCTCTGTTTGAGGCTTAGTCCGCTGGCCATGTGACGTGTCATTCCCAATCCTGGACTATTAAAATCCCTTCTTACAAATAAGGACAGGCAGTTTTCCCATTTGCTGCTTAGCTAGTGCCACTTCCCCAATGGCTGGTAGGAGAACCTAGGCTCACCCTCTATTCTGGATTCCAATCCAGGGATCCTCTAATTCAGGTTTTCAAACTATGGGCCGCAGCTTGTAAGGGCAAGCCACAAACTGGACCTGAGATGCTTTACTTGTACCTTCATAGGTATGGGAGGGTGGGTTGCAGCTCCCATTGGCCGCAGATTGCCATTTCTGGCCAATCGGAGCAGTGAGAAATGATATGGACGGGGACACCATTTCATGCAGCTCCCATTGGCCGGGAATGGTGATCCACAGTCAATGGGAGCTGTGATTGCCTGTACCAAAGTAAGTTCCTGTGTGGAGGCACAGGTAAACAAAACATCTCGCAGCCAGCTAGCGGCTTGTCTTTAGAAGCCATGACCCAGAGTTTAAAAACCCCTGCTCTAATCAGCTGTACAGGTCTGTTTCATTGTGGACCTTTCTCCCTTTACTCTGGATCATTTTCTAATCTTCTGGCTCCCCCACTCAGAGTTTGCTGGCCCCAAAACTCTCTCTTCCTGTAAAATAACTGTATACTACTTTGACTCCGTAGCCTCCAAACACACCTCCCTTCTCCCACTGAATGACTGCAGACTACTCCCTACAGCGCCTCCTTGCTACCAACAGCGGGTCTATGAATCCAGTCCGGTTTATCCTTCCTTGGGTGGGCACCCTCATTCAGGGGATTACATACTGGCTCCCTTATTAGCCTACATTAATCCTTTCAGGTATATTAAACTCCAAAAATATGGCCCTATTTGGAGAACTGCAGCACCCCTTCGTCTCCTGTAGTTTCAGTTACCCTTCTGCTGGGCCCAGACTATGAGTAGGAGGAAGCTGCCAGACTTAAGATCGGGACAAGGACTCTGGGGAGAATGGAACTGGAGACTGGCAAGGGGAAAGAAACACTGGGAGTTGAGATGGGACTAGCTGGACAAAGAAAATGGGATTGAGAGTGGAGGCTGCAAAATGCTGAACACTCACAACTGAAGTTAATGGAAGCTATTCTTTGAACAAAAAAGCAATATTTTTTTGCAAGGGAAGATATTCTCTGTTTGAGGCTTAATCCGCTGGCTATTTCACATGTAAAATGCTAGGTACTCTGAAAAATCTTGTATAAGAGGTCACAAAGGCTAAGTATCCAAAAATAGCTATTCCATTTCTTTTGAGAAAGCCCGTTTTTTCAAAATGTAATGAGCTTGCTATTCCGACATCCCTGTAAACATCATTCCATGAGGAGTAAGGGATGGTTCAGAATAGCGCTTTATTTTGAAAGTTGGTGTTGTGTAGACAGTGCCAAATTCCCAAATAAGCTATTTTGAAATTAACTCAAAATAGGCTATGCAATTTTTGTGTCTTCTTTCACAGTGGCTGGGCTGGAACAGCTGACTGTGTAAGGCAGAAATGCTGAATAGA